TTTTCTTTTTTTAACATGGCTGAAAATACGTCATTAGACAAATTAAACTTAGGATCTTTTCATTATACTAAAGTTTTCTTTGTGAAGGGGCTTTATTAAATTCCAATAGGCTTTTCAGATCATATCCCAATAAGGAATTAGAGAAAACTTTTAAATGTCATGTGAGAGCAAGTGCAATTCATGTTGATTTATAGAAAACGCAAAGATACATAATCAGATGACTCTCAGCTGATGATCCTAATGACTATCTTGGTTGTAACTGATTGTGTGCCTGCTCAGCTGATGATCCTAATGACTATCTTGGTTGTAACTGTGTGCCTAAGAAGTTGGAGAGAACCTCAACTTTTGTTTCTATAGACAACAGGAGAGGGAAGGAACACACTATGCACATATGAAGATGTTTTAGATTCTACATGAGTGTCAGTAAAGCAATTATAAAACCATCCAAAGGTAAATTAAATTAATTTTTGAGGTAAATATTTATTTGCTGGGTAAACAAGGTATAGAAACTGCCTAACAAAGAAAAGAATGACTGCACTGAAAAACCTTGCCATTTCTTTGCTTTTAAGTTCTGAAATTCTCAACTATGTATCTCGTTGTCCAAACCTCTAAGTGGCTGAAGAAATTTGGGCTTCTTCGAGTAGTGTCCCTATGGGTGTTCCACTTTGGGTATATGTGCGCTCCTGCACCTCTAATTGGAGATTTTTGGTAGCAGTGCCCATTGAGCCTGCGCATGTTCTGTCCCTTCCTCTTGATATACCTTGAGGGTATCTAGCACTGCAGGGGGGCTAAATCCTTTCACTTCTCTCTCAATTGCCTTTGGCCTCACACAGAGGCTACGTCTACACTGCAGGCTTCTTGCGCAAGAAGCTTTTTGTGGAAGAGATCTTCTGCATAAAATTCTTGCTCAAGAGTGCATCTTCACTACAAAAATGCATTGCAAAAGTGAAGCGCTTTTGCGCAAGAGAGCATCCAGACTGCATGGATGCTCTCTTGAAAGAAAGCTCTGATTGCTATTCACAGGATAGCCACCAGAGCACTTGTGCTTTTGTCAATTGGCTCTTTTTGCGCAAAAACCCCGTTGCCCGTCCACACACACCTTTTTAAAGGAATTATTCCTCATAGAAAGATGAATACCTACACCGCAAAAACCCCTCTGTTCTTTTGATTTACTGTAAATGTACTTGCGCAAAAACATGCTTGAGGTGTAGATACTCCGTGGGTTTTTGCACAAAAACCCTGTAATATAGACGTAGCCAGAGAGAGCAGTTGTTCCTTCCTTATTTGTATTATTAGCATAATTAGTAGCTTTTGTTTCTTTTGTTCTCCCTAACAGTGTACCTTTTTTTTTTTAACTCCCTTGGGATTAAAAAGAAGGAAAAAGGAGGAAAAATTGTTTTTTATCTGGGACAGGCATAAGGATCTTGCGGAAAAAGGGGTTTTTGTGCAAAACGGCCACAGCCACACTGCCTGTATTTGCACAAAAACCCCTAGCGCAAAAATGGAATGAAAGAGAGTATGCAAATGAAGTGTGGGAAAATGCTAATCTGCACTTCATTTGCATAGGCTCTTGTGGCAAAACTCATAGTGTAGCCGTAACCCTGGAGATCAGAGACCTTGTGTCCTGAAGTCACCAGTGTGAACCCTTCAGCCCAACGCCAAGGCATCTGTCATCAGAATGAGAGATGATTCAGGTGATAAGAAAGAGACCTCTGTGCAGACCATCTGAGGGTTTAGCCACTACCAGAGGGAGTTGAGGACCTGCGGGGTACGGGTGACTATCATGTCCAGTAGAACTCAGTCTGCAGACCTGTGCCACGCCAGCAGAGGTTGCAGGTGCAATATGTAAGTGAAGGCTGACATGTGACCCAGGAGCCTGAGACAGTGGGAAAAGTTATTAAGTCCCAAATAAGTGTACCCAGGATCAGAAAGCGAGTCTGAGGAAGGGAAGCCCTGATCTGGATAGAGTCTAGTTGAATTTTTATAAATTCTATCCTCTAAAATGGAATTAGGATCAACTTTTCCACACTCAGCATTAGGCCTAGTGCGAGGAATGTGACACACTAGAGTCACATGCTGCTTGACTTGTAGCCTCAATCTTCTTTTGATTAACCAATTGTTCAGTTAGAGATACATCTGAACACCCCTCCAGCACAGAAAGCGGCCACGACCACCATACATATAATAAATATCCAGGGGGCTACTGGTAGCCAAAAGGGAGGACTGTGAATTGGTAGTGCATCTCCCAGTGCAAACCAAAGGAGCCTCCTGTGGGAAGGCACTATGGGGATATGAAAATATACGTCCCTCAAATTGAGGGAGGCATACCAGTTGCCTGAATCCAGTGCAGGAATGATAGCTGCCAGGGAGACTGTACAAAACCTTAGCTTCTTTATGTATTGGTTGAGGTTGCAAAAGTTAAAAATATGCTGAAAGCCACCCTTGGCTTTTGGCATAATAAGTAACAGAAGTAAAAACCCACGCCCTGGAAGTCTGGAGGGACCTCTTCCACCACTCCTGTCATAATCAGGAGTGCTGACCAGCACCAAGTGAGTAAGGGGTTAACTAATTTCTCTTGTACCTAGCCAGCCAGTTGTCAGCCAATAACAATGCAGGTAGCAATTTCAAACTGGAAGAGAGGGGTTTTCTTTCTCTTTGCTTTGTTTGAGAGGCAGAGCAGTTTCTACCAAGTACTGAGGAAGATGGGAGACACTTCTCTCTCCAAGGACAGATTTCTTACAAGATGTAAGTAGGGAAAAGTTTAGCTAGTCCATCAGGATTTGTTGTTTTCCTTGTTTTGGGATTTGAAAATAATGTCTGAGCTGTTGTTGTTTTTTTCTTTTGTAACTAAGGCTTTTAGACCAGGGACTTTCTCTGAGTATCTATATTAAATGGTGGCTCTTTCCATCTAGCCAATTTACTATGCTTTCAACTGTAGTTTTGTTTTGATAATAAACAATTGTTTCTTTTTTCTAATTAACCAGTATTGGTTGATTTTTGTGTCCTGGAAGGTTTGTCTGTGTGTATCTGCATGCCTGACTGAGCGGTCAGCTATCAGAGACTGCAGCTTGTTTTTCTCTTTTCTTTTTCAAACTCTTTTGGTGAAAAAGAGCTTGGGGTACCCCTGGGGTTGGTTTCAAGTGTCCACCCTATTTGTGGGTTTAAAGCACTTGATGGTGGCAGCGGATTCCCCAAAATCTGGGTACAGTAAGCTTCTGACAAACCGGCACTTTTAGGACCCAGGGGGTGCCGGATTATCAGATATGCCGGAGTACTGGAAGGGGGGCTACGAGGGGTCTGAGGTGGGGGTTGGCGGGGAACTGCGCAGCGTGGAAGAGGGCGGTGCTGCGGGACCAACCCGGCAGCATCAGCCACTCGTCTGCTTCAGCAGTGGCAGTGGTGGACTTGGGGAAGTGGTGCGGAGCAGCTCCAATTGTCCGTCTGGCCAGAGCACTTCCGGGGTTCCAGTTGGTGCCGGATTATCAGGAGTGCCGGACCACTGGATGCCGGACAATTGGAGTTTTACTGTATTAGGACTTCAGGGGGAAGTTTTTGGTTTTTGTACCGGAACCTGTAGAGGGCAAGGTTTTGGAGTGCTCTGGAGGGCCCCCAGCTTCTGCATTCGTTGTGCTGGAGTGAGGAACAGCCTTGACAACTCCCAATTGGAAGAGCAACTGCATCTCTTGAAATAGTTGATGCCTGTGAGAGGGGTCCCTGAATAGTGCCAGGGATGCAGAGTGGGAGGAAGGAAAACTGGAGGGTATATTCCAGTTCTCCCATACTTAACACCAAGCGATCTGAAGTAATCTGGGCCCAAGCACGGCAGAAGAGGTATAGAGGTTTCCAAACAATGGGGAAGGATCTGGATGGAGATTGGAATGCTGTCCCGAAGTGCAACTTCAAAAGTTCATTTTTGGGACTAAGACTGCTTGGATGAGGACTGCACCCTTGTTTGAGGCGTTAGGAGGCCTCCTCTGGTTGCGCCTTCCCCCAAAGTTGTGCCTCTGTTGGGACAGGTAGTAACAAGAGGGGGGGCTGCGGCTTGAAGGGCTTCCTTTGTGGGGCTGGTGTATAGAAGCCCAGTGACATTAGAGTGGCCATAGTGTCCTTGAGGCTGAGGAGCCTGGAATCTGTTTGTGTGGGGGAGCCTGCACTACCCTGCCTTGGCAATAAATGGTGAAGTCTGTCTAAAAGCAAACCCGGGTCTGTCTCAAGTCTGGTGCGCCAAAGCATGCAGGCCAGGCCTGAGAGTCAGGAATTGTTTTGAATAACAATGCAGATTAAGCATGGTACGCGAGACCACGTCAAGAACATATGACAAGCAACCTTGTACTGGTACTTCTATTCCTGATAAGCAAAAATTACAGAGGCAGCCATGAAACTGTCAACTACGCACATAGCAGCAATGTCCTGAGCAGAATGTACCCCAAGTGGGGCACCGGGCATTTTATGTATCCTACACAATACGTAATCAATTGGTAAATATTATTAGAACAACCAAGTTTGTTATATAATGGGTGTAGTAAGAACAATCGATGGGAAGGATTGACCCATACGTCCTTCTCGATGTAACTAGAAGTAAATAGACCCTTCACACCGGCGACCCAGTGCATGGTGTTCCATTGCATGGGAAGAAAAGGAACCATGACCTCCTGCCTTGTACTGTAGGTAGCATCCGGGTGAAGTGTAAGTGAATTAGGCTTTATTGTTGTATTATAGTAGATAGTCTTGTAATTCCTTTTGCATTGCTTTGTGCTGTATTAATTGCTTTAGAATTTATAGTATTTAAAGTTTAAATTGTATAGTAATTGTTTTTAAGGCTTGTAAAACTTAAACAACTGTATTAACTGCTTAAAGCTTGCAATAAATAAGAAAGTGGTTAAGTAGCCCGGGCATGTCCTGGTTTCTCTTGGATCTAAAATAAATCGAACCACATGACCGTTTGCTCCACAAACAGTTCCGAATCCTCAATTGTCTTCTGGACCTCTCATGGAATCCCAGAAACCTGAATCTAAGAACTCTGGCATATAACAGTGACCATGGACATTGTACGCACAGCTGAGTCTGCCACATCTAGTGCCACCTGCAGGTAGGTCCTGGAAATAATTTTACTCTCCTCTAAAAGGGCTGAAGCTCTGACCAGGACTCTTGTTAGAAAGAGTTCCTTAAACTTCTGCAAAGACATCCAGGAGTAAAAATTATAACAGCTAAGAATGGCCTGCTGATTTGATGTTTTCAGCTGAAGCCCCTCTGTCAAATAGACCTTGTGGCCAGGAAGCCCATTTTCTTTGCTTCCTTCAACTTAGGGGTAGACTCTTGCCTTTTCTTGGTATTTGCCACGTCGACCACCAGAGCACCCAGCTATGTATTCATATCCCTTAGATAGGACAAAATACTTCTTCTCCATACCTGTTGCAGTGAGAAATGGAAGCAGGAGTTTGCCACAAGGTCTTTGTGGTGGTTGAAATAATCTTAATAAAAGCCACGGCCAATCTAAAGGATCCCTTGGGGACCATTATGTTGGCTGAAGTGTCAAGGTCTTCGGCTACCTCTTCGGCTTCAAGACCCAAGTCCTGAGCTACCCTCCTGAGTAGTTCCTGATGGGCCCTATTGTGCATAGGCAGTAAGGAGGTGAATGAGCCCACCACTGCCTCATCAGAGGAGGAAGATGAAGGTCCACCAGTTCTATGTCCTCCTGAACCTCAAACTGCATTGAAGAAGGCAGGGCATAACCCAGGTTAACCACTTCTCTGGATAGCATTGCAATGCTAGGTTGCACACCAGTGACGGTGCAGGGTTTCACTCCAATGACAATGTCTGGAGGCATGCTGATCTTGGTGCCAGGCTGTAGATCGATCTCATGCTGAGTTGTGCTCTGATCCTAGTGCTGGGTTGAAGGCTGATTGCAGTGCAAAAATGGGCACTGATCATGGTGCCTGTGCCAAAACAGTCCCAGGGGCTTTCACTAGAGCAGGGCTACTCAACTTTGCAAGCCCTGGGACCACAATGATACTCACAGTTCATGCCAAGGGCCACAATTTAAGTGTGGGTGCATATACATGCAAATATATGTAAATAACTTCTTTCACACAGATGGGCATGAATACAAAGATTAAGGCAAGACTACACAACACGCAGGCCCCATTTAAGTCAGTTCTGTTGATATTAATAAAATGCAGTATTTATCCAATTTCCACCCATATTACAGCACTTTTAGGGTGCATTTACACTACAGGGCTTAACTCGAAATAAGCAACATAAATTGAGCTACATCACTTGTGTATCTTATTTTGAAATAGTGAGTGTCTACACAGCTCTTATTTCAAAATAGAGCACTCTTCCTCTGACTTCCCTTACTCCTTGTACAAGGGTTAAAGGAATAGGAGTAAGAAATCCTCTAGTTTGACAGTATTTTGACACTATTTTGAAATAACTGCCAACTGTGTAGACATGGACGAATAGCGCTAGTTATTTCCAAATAGCATTGCAGTGTAGACGTACCCTTAATGAGCAATGACAGTTTGGGAATTTAACTACTAAAATGCATATCAACAGAAGACCACTATATTGACTAGCCATTGAGGAGCGTGTTCCCATTGGAGGCCATGTTCAAAGGATCCCATCTGCGGACCTCATGTTGAGCCCCGTGTCAACCCAAACTGCACCGCAGGCCACAAACAGATGAGCCACGTGTTGAGTAGCCCTGACTTAAGGCAAGAATTGTAGGGGTCCCTGTGGGCATAGTCCTACAAAGGGGTAGGAATAAATGGTAAATTTTCCGAGCGGAGAGCGGTAACTAGTGGGGTCCCCCCCGCCAAGGGTCCATCCTGGGACCCATCCTGTTCCATTTATTTATAAATGATCTAGAAAAAGGGGTGAACAGTGAGATGGCAAAATTTGCAGATGATACTAAACTGCTCAAGATAGTTAAGACCAAAGTAGACTCTGAAGAGCCTCAAAAAGATCTCAGCAAACTAAGTGATTGGGCAACAAAATGGCAAATGAAATGTAAAGTTGATAAATGTAAAGTAATGCACATTGGAAAACATAATCCCAATTATATAGACACACAATATGATGGGGACTAATTTGGCTACAACTACTCAAGAGAGATCTTGGAGTCATTGTGGATAGTTCTCTGAAAACATCCACTCAGTATGCAGTGGCAGTGAAAAAGTGAAAGCAGTGAAAGCGAACAATGTTAGGAATAATTAAAAAAGGATACAGAAGAAGACAGAAAATATCTTATTTCCTCTATATAAAATCATGATACGCCCACATTTTAAATACTGCATAGAAATGTGGTCACCTCATCTCAAAAATATATATTGGCATAGGAAAAAGTTCAGAAAAGGGCAACAAAAATGATTACGGGTTTGGAACAGATCCCATATGAAGAGAGGTTAAAAAGACTTGGACTTTTCAGTTTAGGAAGGAGACTAAGGGGAGGATATGATAGAGCTCTATAAAATCATGACTGGTGTGGAAAAAGTGAATAAGGATAAGTTATTTACTTGTTCTCATAAGAACTAGGGGTCACCAAATTAAATTAATAGATAGCAGTTTTCAAACAAAAGGAAGTTTTTCTTCACACAGTCTGTGGAACTCCTTGCCAGAGAAAGTTGTGAAGATCAGCACTTTAACAGGGTTCAAGAAATAATTAGATACATTCACAGAGGTTAGGTCCATCAATGGCTATTAGCCAGGATGGGTAGAAATGATATCCCTAGCCTCTGTTTCTCTGGAAGTGGGTAACAGAAGGGATCACATGAGGAATACCTGTTGTGATCCTACCTCTTGTAAGGTAGAAATGAATATGTAAAAGAAATGCAAATGTATAATATCTTGATGATGTAAAATGTACCATGTGAACCTCTGTATAGTGTTCAGGGCTGATGATTTTTCAAATGTAAAGGTCAACTTGTTTATTCAAATACCTGTAAGCTTAGGATTTTATGAAATTTTGCAATGTTACAAAATGGAGTCTGAAACTCCATTTTGTATTTATAGTGATAGAAATGTAGCTGTGTTAGTCTGGGGTAGTTGAAGCAAAATGCAGGACAATGTAGCACTTTAAAGACTAACAAGATGGTTTATTAGATGATGAGCTTTCGTGGGCCAGACCCACTTCCTCAGATCAAATAGTGGAAGAAAGTAGTCACAACCATATATACCAAAGGATACAATTAAAAAAAAGAACAAATATGAAAAGGACAAATCACATTGCAGAACAGAAGGAGGATGCGGGGGGGTGGGAAGGGGGAGGAAGGAAGGTAAGTGTCTGTGAATTGCTGATATTAAAGGTAGGGAGAGTGGGATGTTTGTGAGTTAATGGTATTACAGGTGATAATTGGGGAAACTGTCTTGATAATGGGTGAGAAAGTTCAAAGACTTGTTAAGTCCCTGGTGGTAAGTGTCGAATTTTAACATGAATGACAGTTCAGAGGATTCCCTTTCAAGTGCAGATGTAAAAGGTCTTTGTAGCAGAATGCAGGTGGCTAAGTCATTTAGAGAGTGTCCTTTCTGGTTAAAGTGGCAAGAAACTGTTTTCTCTTTGTGATCTTGTCTGATATCTGTTTTGTGGGCATTAATCCTTTGGCGAAGTGTCTGAGATGTTTGTCCAATGTACATAGCAGACGGACACTTTCGGCACATGATAGCATAGATTATATTTCTGGATGCGCAGGAATATGTGTTCTTGATCTTATAACTCACTTGGTTAGGTCCAATAATGGTATCAGCAGAATGAATATGTGGACAAAGCTGGCAACGGGGTTTGTTGCAAGGGAAGGTACCAGGGTTGGTATTAGTGTGGTATGTCCTGTGGTGGTTGGTAAGAATCATCTTGAGGTTAGGTGGTTGTCTATAGGAGACTATGGGTCTGTCTCCCAGAGCCTCTTTGAGTATGGTATCCTGTTCCAATATAGGCTGTAGTTTATTGATAATGTGTTGGACAGGTTTAAGTTGGGGGTTGTAGGTGATGACAAGTGGTGTTCTATTGTTGGTTTTCTTGGGTCTGTCTTGAAGTAGATGGTTTCTAGCCGAAAATGCTTTTAACGGAAAACTTTTCCGTTAAAAGCATTTCCGGAAAATCATAGAGATATAGAATCATAGGACTGGAAGGGACCTCGAGAGGTCATCGAGTCCAGCCCCCCGCCCTCAAGGCAGGATCAAGCTCTGTCTACACCATCCCTGACAGATGTCTATCTAACCTGTTCTTAAATATCTCCAGAGAGGGAGATTCCACCACCTCCCTTGGCAATTTATTCCAATATTTGACCACCCTGACAGTTAGGAATTTTTTCCTAATGTCCAATCTAAACCTCCCCTGCTGCACTTTAAGCCCATTACTCCTTGTCCTGTCCTCAGAAACCAAGAGGAACAAATTTTCTCCTTCCTCCTTGTGACACCCTTTTAGATATTTGAAAACCGCTATCATGTCCCCCCTTAATCTTCTTTTTTCCAAACTAAACAAGCCCAGTTCATGAAGCCTGGCTTCATAGGTCATGTTCTCTAGACCTTTAATCATTCTTGTTGCTCTTCTCTGTACCCTTTCCAATTTCTCCACATCTTTCTTGAAATGTGGCGCCCAGAACTGGACACAGTACTCCAGCTGAGGCCTAACTAGTGCAGAGTAGAGCGGCAGAATGACTTCACGAGTTTTGCTTACAACACACCTGTTGATACAACCTAGAATCATATTTGCTTTTTTTGCAACAGCATCACACTGTTGACTCATATTCAACTTGTGGTCCACTATGACCCCTAGATCCCTTTCCGCCATGCTCCTTCCTAGACAGTCGCTTCCCATCTTGTATGTATGGAACTGATTGTTCCTTCCTAAGTGGAGCACTTTGCATTTCTCTTTATTAAACCTCATCCTGTTTACCTCTGACCATTTCTCTAACTTGCTAAGGTCATTTTGAATTATGTCCCTATCCTCCAAAGAAGTTGCAACCCCACCCAGTTTGGTATCATCTGCAAACTTAATAAGCGTACTCTCTATCCCAATATCTACATCATTGATGAAGATATTGAACAGTATGGGTCCCAAAACAGACCCTTGAGGAACTCCACTTGTTATCCCTTTCCAGCAGGATTTAGCACCGTTAACAACAACTCTCTGACTACGGTTATCCAGCCAATTATGCACCCACCTTATCGTGGCCCTATCTAAGTTATATTTGCCTAGTTTATCAATAAGAATATCATGCGAGACCGTATCAAATGCCTTACTAAAGTCTAGGTATATGACATCCACCGCTTCTCCCTTATCCACAAGGCTCGTTATCTTATCAAAGAAAGCTATCAGATTAGTTTGGCATGACTTGTTCTTCACAAACCCATGCTGGCTATTCCCTATCACTTTATTACCTTCCAAGTGTTTGCATATGATTTCCTTAATTACCTGCTCCATTATCTTCCCTGGGACAGACGTTAAACTGACTGGTCTGTAGTTTCCTGGGTTGTTCTTATTCCCCTTTTTATAGATGGGCACAATATTTGCCCTTTTCCAGTCTTCTGGAATCTCCCCTGTCTGCCATGATTTTTCAAAAATCATAGCTAAAGGCTCAGATAGCTCCTCTATCAGCTCCTTGAGTATCCTGGGATGCATTTCATCAGGAGCTGGTGACTTGCTGACATCTAACTTTCCTAAGTGATTTTTAACTTGTTCTTTGTGTATCCTATCTTCTAAACTTACCCTCTCTCTGCTTGTATTCACTACGTTAGGCACACCTCCAGACTTCTCGGTGAAGTCATGAGAAGATCAGGGCGTCGCTTGCGTTGGGTTTAGGCTTAGGCATAGGAGCGAATGCTGGTATGAGAAAGGTCCTGTAAAGCTTTATCTGGAGAAGCTAGCGGAAGGCTATGTTCCCTCCAGTCTATATAATCTAGTATTTTTCTGTGAGTTAGGCTGACAGAAGGTCAGACCTTCTCACTTAAGGTTAGGATTAGTTAGTTTAGTAGTTAGTTAGGTTAGTTCCCGTCATCGAGTCTGTACATCAGGCTGCGTCGGTCCACGCATGTTGGCCGTCGTCATGTCTGTACGTCGGGCGCGTCGGGATTAGTTTAAGGTTTTATTTTTAGGTTAGGGTTAGGTTAGATAGAGCAGAGTCTAGCATCCATCGCCTGTTCCAGAGGCGCCGAAGAGCCTGAAGAATCGCACTTCGCGGAAGGTGAAGTCAGCAATTCTGCTCAGCTCTCCGTGGGACTCCTGGTTGTTCCTCTCTTGAGGTCCGGAAGGACGAATGGATTGAGGTTGCCAGCTTTGACCGTGAGGCAGCCGACGAGGTACACCTGGTTGTTCCTCTCCTGCGGCTTTCAAATAGCCAAGGGATTGAAGGTCACCAGCTTCCCATCAATCGTCCTGCGTCGAAGACTCTGTGGTAGGCATAGAGACTTGGAGGGACTTCCCATTCTTGTCCGTGTAGTTTAATAGGGGACTGCCCCCTTATTTGCTAATTAGAGGTATACCATTCTATAAATTCTACTGTTTGTTAAATTTAATCTGAGTAAGATAGTCTTGTGGTTATCACTGAAAACCCAAGTCTTAAGTTTTTATTTAACGCACCATCTCAATCTAAGCGTTGACACTCTGCCGGTGATTAGATACGGAAAGAGGAGTCCCAACCTGAAATACCATCCCTAAGCGGATGAGTCGGGTTATTTAATAACTCTCTGGGAAGTCTTTAAACACCTTTGATCTTCCTTACTCTGTTCGAGAGACTGGTAACACTCTGGGTCATCTGGTATTGGCCACTGTTGGCAATCAAGATATTGGGCTAGATGGACCTTTGGTCTGGGTCAGTATGGCCGTTCTTATGACATACTGTGCATTCCCCACAGTTACTGGAAAGATACGCAGACAGAAAATGGGACAATTCATTGAACCTGCTCTCTATTCCCTTGGAATAATATACATTCTAAAGACACCAGCAGGGACTGCATCTATAGTTGGCTTCTGCTCAGACACAACAAGGCAGTTGGGAACAGAAGTTCTTGCACATCATATATAGGGCTACCCACAGTCTGGCTCACATTCTTTTTTTTAATATTTCTATGTCTTCCTCTGTCAAGCTATTTAGATATTTGGTGCTTTTGAAAGATGAGTAATCTCAAGAGGGTCTGGGGGCCACTGATCCACAGAAGGGGCCACACTCAAGTGAGAAGGAAAAAAAACCACCCCTTGACTTGGCAGGAAAAAGCACGGGGAAAAAGATACCTGTCATGCTGGATGCTAGGGCTTCCACAGACAGCCAGGTTAACTCTTTTGAGGGACTGGAGCTAATAGATTTTGTGAGGCCCCCTTAGGCTTTGAAGTGGGGCCAAATATGAGGGATTCAGTGTATGGGAAGGGGCAACCAGGGAGTAGTCTGCAGGTGGCAGTGTAAGGTCTGGGCAGAAGGTTGGGTGCAGAAGCAGGCTGGTGTCTGGGAGGGTACTGGGGATTGGGACACTTGGCACAGCTCTGATGGGGGAACATGTGGCTCCACACAGCCCTGTGCTTGCAGGCATCACCTCCCAGCAGCTGAGATTCCTGGCCAATGAGAGCAGCACGGGAAAAGTCGGTAGTTCCTTGCACTGCCATTCCCACAGCTAGGGGAAATAGCAATGTGGGGAACCATTTTCTTCCTCTACCAGGCAAAGCTGGCAATGCAGGGACTTTAGTGCTGGCTCCCTGCTGACAGAATCATTAATGTGCTGGACTCCATTTTGAATTTCTCAGATTCCAGAGATAAACACGAACTGGTTGCAACTGGCATTTCCCACCAAGAACTTCATTTGCATGTTAGCTACCTCAGACATGCACTCTGCTGCACACAACAATGAACTTTTGCACACATCACAGGGACAGTTGCACTCAGCACCCCCACTTTGTTTTCCCGCCCATGAAATAATATAAATCCCCTCGTGGGCCAGCGTGCGTGCTTCGTCTCTCATCTGGACAGCAAGTTTGTGGCTCTGTTCCGCTTGTGGTGAAGGCCCAAAGTGTGGTTCCCAGATCTGCTGCAGCTCTCCAGTGTACCATCTATAGGTCACCAGAGTGTTTGGAATCTCTGAACTAGTGTAGGTGTTTCCCTTTACATCTCATACTGAAGGGTGGATATTTGTGACCAGCATACATTCAGCAAGGTTCTTTAGTTCCCCTCACTCGCAAGAGATCAGGATTCCTGTGGTGAAAGCCCAGGAATTGCATTGTCATCCCTGAGAACATTGAAGGTGTACCATCTATAGGTCACCAGAGTGTTTGGAATCTCTGAACTAGTGTAGGTGTTTCCCTTTACATCTCATACTGAAGGGTGGATATTTGTGACCAGCATACATTCAGCAAGGTTCTTTAGTTCCCCTCACTCGCAAGAGATCAGGATTCCTGTGGTGAAAGCCCAGGAATTGCATTGTCATCCCTGAGAACATTGAAGGATCACCTAGCATTCCTCCTGAACAGCAAGGTAGGTTGCAGTTCTCTGGTTGCTTCTGTGTTGTCAGTCATCGGATACAGTAATATACTTATCTAGGGGAACTGTTCTATCTTCTTGTCATTTCTAGTTTTGAGGGCATAGGTTGGTTAAGTACTAATGTTCAGTGTTTTGTTGTTGTATATGGTTACTTGCTCTGTATTTGTTTTAAATTGTTTTTAATAGATTTAACCAATCTTATACCTGACTGTTTTATCTGGGGACTAAGCCACTGGTGATAGATACAGTGTGCTAGGGAATCTAAGTTCTGGAACATTCAACATCACTAAGTCAGTCTAAATTCTAAATTTAACAAACATTACTGATTTCCAGGGTAACACTGCTGCTTCCCTCTTGTAGCAGGGGAAAGGAAGAGCCCCATGCCTTACAGGCCTGATCAAGAGAAGCTGAAGCCGCATGCCCCAACCTAACCAAGGCAGAAGAAAATGAGAGTAGTGGTGATTCACAATAAGATGATCAAGAGAAGCTGAAGCCGCATGCCCCAACCTAACCAAGGCAGAAGGAAATGAGAATAGTAGTGGTGATTCACAATAAGGCCACTTCTCCCCCTCCTTTTTACCTGAATCAGGGCTGCTTCCCTGTTTTTTTAAAAAAAAGAGAGTCACCTTCTCCCCTGTTCCCTCAAATCTTGGAAATGCAACTGGTAGGCCCTGCAACTCTAGCAGTCATTGTGCCTGGTCTCTGCAATTGCTAAATTGCATCCTTTAAATTTTGTAAGTACACAACATTTTATTTCAGAAACGACATGCTAAATATTTGATGTACCTTATAGGTTATTTACAGTTGATTGGCACAAACCCCCATCTTATCAAGGTCACATCCTTTTCTTGTTGCTTCTCTGACAAGCACTTCTAAAGTACACTTATTATTTAACTCCTTAGCCTAACAATAGTCTTGTGCTTTGTAATTTTTTAAAAATAACTACTAAACCAAAACTACTATTACAACATTCAAACTTTTATTTGAAAACCAAACAAGTGAACTGAATTAAGAAAAAATCCATATTGTAAGACATTTTCTGACTTTTAGCCTATCTTTTAATATTCTTCCCCTTCTTCAGCTTCTGCTTCCACAGAATCAACACCCACTTCTTCATAATCTTTCTCAAGCGCAGCCAAATCTTCCCGGGCTTCGGAAAACTCTCCTTCCTCCATCCCTTCTCCAACATACCAATGTACAAAGGCACGCTTAGCATACATCAAATCAAATTTATGGTCAAGACGAGCCCAAGCTTCTGCAATAGCAGTTGTATTACTCAACATACATACAGCACGCTGCACCTTGGCCAAATCACCTCCTGGCACTACAGTTGGAGGTTGATAGTTAATTCCCACCTTTGAGGAAAAAACAAGACAAAAGCAGTAATCATAAGTTAGTATTTCAAAAGTGTTCGTTTTCTTCTATTTTTCTCACAGTATATTTAACAAGCTAACATATACTGACAATACTGTGCTGGCACAACATTGCCAAATCAAGTACTAAAAATGTTTAAGTCCAGCTCCTGAAAAATAGAGAGATGAGCTTTAAAAAACCCACATATAATTTTTTTAAAAAAAGTAACTGTTGGGAATTTATCTTCCTATTGCTTTTTGAGCCTTTAGTGTGTCCTTGTTTCATTTTTTTGGGGGGGTGGGGGGGAAGAGGAGATTTTCTCTGAAACCAGAAGGGATTTTTTTTTTTTTTTTAATGAAAACTGAAATTCTCATCCAATATCATGCTTTTAGCAGCTGGAGATTTGAAAAAATACTAAACAGTGATTTTACAACTTATTTCTGAGTTGACAGCAATATGTTCTGAGCTTAGCAAACAAGAGCAGCTAACAGAGTTTCGTGAGGGAGTTCTCCAGGTGAAGGAGGAGTAATCACGGGACCCTTGGGGTAAGTGGCTATCTGTAGTGTGTTTGGGGGGTTACTCACTGGTTTCCTGAAAGACACTGTGTGCTGAGCTTGTGTTTGTCTATTTGTTTGGAGATCATATGCTGAATTGTTTGTTGGAAGAATTGTGTGCTGAGGCCGGCAGTTGGAAGCTGCGAGTTTCTTAATGAGGATTTGAAATCTAGAACCCTCTGTTCATTGCTCAAGCTTTAGTCAAGGCACAGGGCTAACAGGAATGCGAGGGATATATAAAGACTGCTAGTAAGCAACCAGGGAGGTTGGTGAACAGGAGCAGCTAACGGAGTTTAAAGGCGAACTTGGAAGAGGGCTAGACATACTTGGCATTCTTTAAAACTTTTAAACTAAAACCTAAACTCCAATTCCCTGATTTAAATAAAAACCCTATCAATAATCCAATTGTCTGTAGAAGAGAATGCAGGCAGAAACCCAGCAGCAGAGCGGGGGCTATCCTGTTTACTGAACCCAATATAGCATGTATGATTACCTGCCCTATGGACAGGTGGCATATGTAGAGACCATATATGGACTTTGCAGGCCAGAGTTAGAGACCATATATGGACTTTGCAGGCCAGGGTTGCTGAATTGGAGGAGCTAAGGGAGGCAGAGAAGTACATATGAGGCTTTCCAGGACACTGTAGAACTGTCCCACTTCCAGTGAGACAGCCCAGGTGCTGTTAAGGAGGGTGAAAGACTCAAGGAAAGAATATTCAACTGGAGCAGAGAAAAACCATCCCACAGTTGGGACCCTCCTTCCAGATGATGTTGTGGTGTCCTCTCACACTGAGGCTACCTCTGCAGGGGGAGGGAACACCAGTCATTAGGAAGAGGCAGGTGTTAGCAATGGGGGAATTTGTTCATTAGAAACATAGATAGCTGGGTTTGTGATTACGGGGGGGGAAGAGGAGAGAACCCATATGGTGACTTGCCTGCCTGGTGTGAAGGTTCCAGTTCTCTTGAAACATCCAGACTTATGTGTAGTGCTGGGGAGGAGCCACTGGGCATAGCACGTGTAGGTACCAATGACAGGAAAGGGTAGGAGCAAGGGTAGCCCGTGAGCCTAGGCGAGCTAGGCAGTTGCCTAGGGCACCAGTGCCCGATGATGACATCATGGCCATTGACGGCCACCTCGCCTAGGGCGCCAGCTGCTGCAGCCAGCCTCAGGCTGCTCCTGGGTAGGAGTGAAGTTCTGGAGGTCAAATGTAGGCTGCCAGGGAAGAGATTGAAATCCAGGACTGTTATATTAGCATTCTCTGAAATGCTCCAGTTCCATGTGCAGGGCAAGCAGAACATCAGAATCTCAATGTGTGGATGAGACAATGGTGTAGAGAGGAGAGGTTGAGATTAGGAACTGGGGAAACTTTTGGGAAAGGGGGAGCCTATATAGAAAGGATGGGTCCCAAAATGGAACCAGACTGCTGGTACTTAACGTTAAAAAGGTCACAGAGCAGTTTTTAAACTAAGGGTTGGGGGAAAGCCGACAGGTGTGGAGGACGACATGGATTGGACAGACATCTCTTAGGGGAGGGTCTATTCTCTATGTTCTAGTAAAGAGGAGAGGATGCAAGATGATAAAGTATGGGTAAGATCAGATGAGAAATAATCAAATGAAAAAGTCTAACATCAGGAAATGGCAGACAGATACAGTGACAAAATTAAGTGCTTATACACAAACGCTAGAAGTCTAAATAAGAAGCTGGGTGAACTAGAGTGCCTTGTGTTAAAGGAGGATATTGATATAATAGGCATCACAGAAACTTGGTGGAATGAGGACAATCAATGGGACCTAGTCATACCAGGGGACAAAATATATCAGAAGGACAGAACAGGTCATGCTGGTGGGGGAGTGGCACTATACTTGAAAGAAAATGTAGAATCAAAAGGAAGTAAAAATCAAAAGGTCCCATAGAATCTCTATGGGTAGTAATTCAATATTCTAACAATAAGAATATAGCAATATATATCGACCACCTGACCAGGGCAGTGATATTGATTATGAAGTGCTAAGGGAGATTAGAGAGGCTATCAAAATAAAAAAACCTCAGTAATAGTGGGGGATTTCAACTATCTCCATATTGACTGGGTACATGTCACATCAGGACAGGATGCAGAAACAAAATGTCTTGACACCTTACATGACTGCTTAAAATCAGCTTCTGTACCTCATGACTGGAAAAAACTAATGTGATGCCAATATTTTAAAAGGGTTCAATAGGTGATCCTGGCAATTACAGACTGGTAAGTCTAACATCAGTAGCAGGCAAATTAGTTGAAACTATAGTAAAGAACAGAATTGTCAGAGACATAGATGAACACTGGGGAAAAGTCAACATGGTTTTTGTTAAGGGATATTATGCCTTACTAGAGTTTTGTGGGGGTCAAACAAACATATGGACAAGGGGGAATCCAGGAGATATAGTGTACTTAGATTTCCAGAAAGCCTTTGACAATCCCCTAACTGGTTAAAAGACAGGGAATAATGGTAAATTCAGAATGGAGAGAGATAACTAGTGGTGTCCCCCAAAGGTCCGTACTGGACCAATCCTATTCATCTTATTTATAAATGATCTGGAGTAAGGGGTAAACAGTGAGGTGGCAAAATTTGCAGATGATACTAAACTGCTCAAGATAGTTAAGACTAAAGCAGACTCTGAAGAGCTTCAAAAAGATCTCAGCAAACTAAGTGACTGGGCAACAAAATGGCAAATGAAATGTAAAGTTGATAAATGTAAAGTAATGCACATTGGAAAATTCCAATTTTATATTTATTTATATATATACACACACACACACACACACACACACAATGATGGGGACTAATTTGGCTACAACTACTCAAGAGAGATCTTGGAGTTGTTGTGGATAGTTCTCTGAAAACATCCACCCAGTGTGCAGCAACAGTCAAGAAAGCAAACAATGTTAGGAATAATTAAGAAAGGATAGAGGACAAGACAGAGAACATCTTATTGCCTCTGTATAAAATCATGGTATGCCCATAATCTTGAATACTGAGGCGACTACATCTGTACACATCTTAAAAAATATATACTAGCATTGGAAAAGGTTCAGAAAAGGGCAACAAAAATGATTATGGGTTTGGAACAGATCCCATATGAACAGGGGTTAAAAAGACTTGGACTTTTCAGTTTAGGAAGGAGACTAAGGGGAGGATATGATAGAGCTCTATAAAATCATGACTGGTGTGGAAAAAGTGAATAAGGATAAGTTATTTACTTGTTCTCATAAGAACTAGGGGTCACCAAATTAAATTAATAGGTAGAAGCTTTCAAACAAAAGGAAGTTTTTCTTCACACAGCGTGGCCAGCCTGTGGAACTCCTTGCCAGAGGAAGTTGTGAAGATCAGGACTTTAACAGGGTCCAAGAAAGAATTAGATACATTCACAGAGGTTAGGTCCATCAATGGCTATTAGCCAGGATGGATAGAAATGGTGTCCCCAGCCACTGTCCCAGGCTGGGAGTGGGTGACAGGAGAGGGATTGCTTGATGATTCCCTATTCTGTTCACTCCCTCTGGGGCATTTGGCATTGGCCACTGTTGGAAAACAGAATACTGGGCTGGGTCAGACCAAAGATCCATCTAGTATGGCCATTTTTATGGCTTATTAGTACATGTATTTTAACCTAATACCTGATTTTATCCACAGCCATAATTCTGCCCTCCTCGCTCATGCTGAGTAAGGATCACACCATGTGATCATATTTAATGTTAAATGAGTAAATTAATTTAACTGGCAGGGGGTCCTTATATGAACTCAGTCTATTTTCTTATTTTGTGATAACTAAGATGTTACTAGAATTTGTTCGTTAGCCTGCAGTGGGTTTGCACAGCTGTGAATGAAAAAAAGCTAGTTTATATTGTTTTGTGCTTCATCAATGTAATTAAATCCCAATCACAGAGCCAAATTCTATTACATTTGTGTTACACCACTTAAGAAAATGGGTCTGGATCAAGGATAAGGGCAGTGTGGTCAGCAGATTCTTCTATGAGTGATGTGGTATAAAGCTGGAAAGGCACCTATGAAGTGGATTTTTGGGTAGCTGAATCAGCTAAGATAAATTACCTAAGAAGGTAGCTTATTCAGATAAATTTTTGGGTAGCTGAATCAGCTAAGATAGCTACCTTCTTAGGTAATTTTATTCAGATAAGTACATTACTATAAACAAGGTATAAAAATACAGTTCTAACCAATTTAAATTATACAAGCAGCTACCATTTTTGCAGGCCTTACTCGTGCATATTTAAAACTGAACCTGACATATGAATAATAGTAGTGTATTGTAGTATGAAAGCTACACCTCCATGTTTTACTAACAATTCTTAAAATAAAGTGTGACAAATTTCTAAATACCTTGAAACCAGTTGGACACCAATCCACAAACTGAATGGTTCGCTTAGTTTTGATAGTGGCAATTGCTGCGTTAACATCTTTGGGGACAACATCACCCCTGTATAGCATACAGCAGGCCATATACTTTCCATGGCGAGGGTCACATTTTACCATCTGGTTGGCTGGCTCAAAACAAGCATTGGTAATTTCAGCCACTGACAACTGCTCATGGTATGCTTTTTCAGCAGAGATGACAGGTGCATATGTTGCCAGTGGGAAATGGATCCTTGGGTATGGCACAAGATTGGTCTGGAACTCAGTCAGATCTACATTGAGGGCTCCATCAAAACGCAGTGAAGCTGTGATAGATGAAACAATTTGCCCTATGAGTCTATTTAGGTTGGTATAAGTAGGACGCTCAATGTCAAGATTACGACGACATATGTCATAAATGGCTTCATTGTCTACCATGAAGGCACAGTCAGAATGCTCCAATGTTGTATGTGTAGTTAGGATGGAATTGTAGGGTTCCACTACTGCAGTAGAAACCTGTGGTGCTGGGTAAATTGCAAACTCTAGTTTGGACTTTTTGCCATAATCAACAGAAAGCCTTTCCATGAGTAGAGATGCAAATCCAGAACCAGTGCCTCCTCCAAAACTATGGAAGATGAGAAATCCCTGCAGCCCTGTGCACAGATCAGCCTAGAGGAGAAAAAAAAACAACATAAAAGGGGAAGGTAAGGTCATTGTGGTCTAAGGACTTGATTCAGATTAGCACCATTGTAAATGAAAGCAGATTATGGCCCACAGCTACGTGATCCTAAATGGGTTCCATTCTATCTTGCATGTATCAACACAACTAAGTCAACCCAATAAAAGGCCAAATTTTGCCCTTACTAATGTTTGTGCAGCATTACTGAAAACAAATGGATTTTACAGTTTTAACAGAGGCAACATAGCCAGCATAGACATTTTGTGTGATGGTGTGTTGGTATAGAAGTAATGAAAAATCTAGTTGAATTCTCCAAGTAGAAGCTGCAGAGTAGGTAGTTAGAAAATGGGTTTTACTTACATATAAATGAAGCAAACTTGATCTAGATTAGGGATGTAAATTTTTTTTAAAAAAACTATTAACTGTGTAACTGACTGGTCCTTCACATCCCTAAAACACACCAGAACATTCAGTTTTACATATGTATTCACATAACTTTCAGTTTCACAATTATGTATAGCAAGATGGATTTGATGCAGCTATTTTAAATACTGATGTTGCTGTTTGAACTCCTACCAGCTTGCGAATGCGATCTAGCACTAGATCAACAATCTCTTTTCCAATAGTGTAATGGCCTCTGGCATAATTATTGGCTGCATCTTCTTTCCCAGTAATGAGCTGTTCAGGATGGAATAGTTGCCTGTAAGTGCCTGTACGTACTTCATCTACAGAAAAAGAAAATATTCAGATGTAAAAGTTGGTGTGTTTCATTCTATATATATAAGCATTTTGGTATGCTCTATCAGCACTTCATCTTACTTGACATTTATGTAGGTGCATGGGGAGGAAAGGGCATAAGGAGCATCCCGCTTTTTTTTTAAATACACTCCCACCCCTATTATGTAAACTCTTGACAACTCTTTGCTCAGGAGACAATATGATGAACTTACAGAAAACACCTGCCAATGACCATTACAGAACTCTGGGAACTACTCAGAGCCATTCCATGCCTTTGGATTGCTATTAAAATCTTGTTGTCTACACTTGCATGTTTTATCACCAAAAATTGTTTTTGTCAACAAGACAGTGAGAAAATGTCACACTGTAGTGTACTTTTGGTCACGAAAAAACAACCGAGTTTTGGTGACAAAAAACCTTTGACCCTCAGAGAGATTTTTGTCTTTCCCCCTCTGTATTGTTGACAAAGAGCCAGTGTGAACTCTTGTCAAGAGAACTGGCTTCTGACAGTATCCCACAATGCCTGCCCTGGTGGCTGTGATCAATGTTTCCTGGTCTCTGCTGCCCTGCAGGCATATGCCCCTCCTACTTCAAATCTCTGGGAAGTATCAGACAGCTAAGTGAGCTACTCCATTTGGGGAGCAAAGAACAAATAATTAGAATGCTTCTGTTCTGCCTTGCACTAGAAATGCGGCAGCAGGCAGACTGCTGCTGCAGGGGGATGCCTTGAGAGACTATTCAATTAACCAATATTTAAACATGCCTGCTTAAAAGACTGAGCTGAACTTCGCCTGCAGCACAAATGTCAAACAGACAAGAAAAAAAGTGCTATTAACATGAATGGAAGATGCAAAACCCAAATTTCCCCCAGTTGCAAAATCTGATACACCCACTCTAATCTCACACTTCAGTTTGAAGTGTTTAAAGAATAGGAGGTATGTTTGTACTTTTATTTATTAAGTGGCTCAAACAATATGTAAAGATTTTAGAGAGCATGCAAGACAATAGTTATGCTAAGCAATAAGAGTGATATACATTAACCATGGAAATGCAATGCTGTGACTTTTTTTTAAAATCACATTTTAAAGGATGAAAGGAAAAGTAATGGGGGGGATTTTTATATTTCTTTTTTAAGAAAATCAGAAGATTTATAACATCAAGGGGATCCAAAACTGGTACAGGCAGTCCCCGGGTTACGTACAAGATAGGGACTGTAGGTTTGTTCTTAAGTTGAATCTGTATGTAAGTCGGAACTGGCGTCCAGATTCAGCCGCTGCTGAAACTGATCAGTTTCAACAGCAGCTGAATCTGGA